GGTGCACGACTATTGGGGTTTTCAAAAAGTGCCCTTTTTTGGTCCCTAAAGTGACTCGATTCCTTTTTTGGTCACTCGCATTTTGGCCTCGAAATGCACTACTATTAGGGATTTTATACTCGTTTTTTAAATCTCGAGAACCGCGAGAATTTACGAATTTACCAGGCCTATTGTCTACATTTGCACTAGGTCTAGAAAAAGTTTTTTTTCGCAAACAACAGAGCCTTTTCACCTTTTCATCGAGTAAAATAGCTCTAAAAAGTTGAGGATAACGATTCGTCAATCTTTTTAGAGCTTTAACTTTTCCATTTCAACTTCAATCAATCTGAAAGTTTGTCATTCGTTTAGAAAGATTTCAAAAAATAAAATAGAATTCCTTTTGAATGACTACATTTGATTAGAAATTTCAGAAAAATAGAAATTTTGAATGAGCGCAAATTTGTAGGCAAAAATTTTGAACTCAAGCTGAAAAAAATGGAAACAAACCCTCTCTGGGACAGTGAATTCGAAATTTTGAGACAGCTACACTACTGGGCAATGAAATATCATACTTGAAAAACGATCGTCACTTTCGCGCGTCACTTTCAAATGATTTTTGAGAGAAATTTGGGATTTCGGTTAATTCTGACAATATTTTGTCACTTAAAAACTTTGATTTTTCAATCAAATTCGATTTTTCATTGTAAAACCTTAAATTTTACATAAACTTTCTATAATTATAAACTTTTATAAGAATATTAAGCATTTAATATTAGAATATTAGCTTTTTGTTCTCCTGAAAGCTCATTTTGAAGCTGAAAAAGAAGATTTGAGGTCGAAGAACAAAGTCAAATTTTTTTGTCACCTTTTGGAAGCGATAAAATTGATCTCATCGAAGCATTCGGGGATCAAAACTTTCTAGATTTCTAGATTTCTAGAGTTCTAGAGTTCTAGAGTTCTAGAGTTCTAGAGTTCTAGAGTTCTAGAGTTCTAGAGTTCTAGAAAGTTCTAGAAAGTTCAGAAAGTTCACTTTAATTCTAGAGTTTATAAGATATTCAATGATGATCATTGAATATTTGACAATTGAATAGTATTTGGTAGTGATTTAAGAGACTTTTATGCTAGTCATTCGTTTTTTGAGCCGACAATTTGAATACTTTTAGATTTCTAGGTTTTTAAGTTAATAAATGAATTGGAAAAGAGTTTTATAAGAACTAGAGAAAGTGAAATTTGAAATTACCGTAAATACTGTAATAGTTCCCACAGCCATAATGACGGTGCGGAGCGTCGCGTAGTCTAGCTTTGAACGAGTTTTTCTCGACACTGGCTTATGCTACAATGACGGTTTAGGTATCAAAAAATAGCTGAAATTCAGGGCTATTTTTTTGATACTTTTGTGCACATTGTAGCATAAGCCAGTGTCGAGAAAAACTCGTTCAAAGCTAGACTACGCGACACTCCGCACTCGTCATTATGAGAAATCAAATTTGTGAAATTTGAGTAATTTCAACCTATTCACCTTACTCTCTCAAAGTTTTCAAGAAATTTTTGCAACTCTGCAACTCTGCAACTCTGCAACTGCAAAAATTCCAGTTACCATTTTCAAATAGTCAACCCTTTTTTCAAGTCCACTTAAAAACGAATCAATTGTGCATTTCTCGAAGCCCAACTCCATTATTGAATATCTTAAAGGATAAAAGGTTAAAGTCTCTGGAATCCAGCAGAGATTCGTCCTTTGTGCGGCAAAAGGAACGCCAAATTTGGACGAAAGAGAAAAGAAAAGGGGGAAAAGGGGGAAAAGGGGGAAAAGGGGGAAAATTGTTTCCTTTCGGATAATTTGGGACCTCTTTTCACGTTAAGATGGCTAACAGGTGCCAGAATAATCAAAATTTCTTCACAAATTCATTTTGAGTCATTGATTTTGATTTTAGACTTTAAAAATTTCTTTTCCTAAAGCTTATTATCAACTGATCATTAAATTAGCTTTCAGGAATTGTCAATAAATTTTATTTTTCAAAATTTGCACACTTTGTTTTGAATGTTTTTGGATTTGGACTTGGATTTGGACTTGGACTTGGATTTGGACTTGGATTTGGATTTGAATTTGGATTTGGATTTGGATTTGAATTAGAATTAGAATTAGAATCTGAATTATTAGGTTGATGCATAAGTGTTTTCGTTTTTTTCGTATTTCTGTTAAAAAGTAACAAATTCACCAATTAATCTATAGTTTGCTCTATAAAAAAAAGTGTTTTTTTGTTCAATTTGCATCTTTTTAAATGAATTTCGGTTCACTTTCAAGCAAATTCGAGAGTGAAAAACGCCTTTTTCGTAAAAATCTATAAAAAACTCTACGGAAAAATTGGCTGAATGAATTTCTCTGAAATTTTGGCGAAATATCAAACGTTTTTTTTCTCTATCTTTTATCTATTGACACGAAGATAGGTTTTCTTTAGCTAAGGTGTCTAAACCGCATCATCGAGTTAGCCCTTTTTGACTACCCGACTTCATACTCTCAAGAAAATCCAGGCATTAAATATTTTAAAACCCGTTTTAATGTTATTTTGCAGAAAAATAATTGGTTTTTCTAATGAAATCAACCGTAGTTTAATTGGTGCATTTGTTGGCTTGAAACGGCAGACGAAAAGGAACGAAAATGCACTTATGCATCAACCTAATAGTAATCAGGATCTGAATTTGAAGCTGAATTTGAACTTGAATTTGGATTTGGATTTGAATTTGAATCTAAATCTGAATTAGAATTAGAATTAGAATTAGAATCTGAATTAGAAGCTGAATTAGAACCTGAACTTGAATCTGAATCCGAATCTGAATTTGAATCTGAAGTTGAATTTGAAGTTGAATTTGATTTTTGAAAAAAACATAATTACATATGTTTTAATTGTATATGCATAGGTTTGTGCAAATTTTTTTCTAATACAATCGAAATTCTAGCATTTTAATCATCGGATTGGTGGGGGGTGGCTAGTTTGAGCCAAATTTTTTTGGATCTCTTGCGCAACGCGCCATAACTTTCTTCTGAGTAAGCCAATCTTTACGATTTTGATGTCATTTTGTAGATCTCAATAAGGGCAACAAAATGACATCAAAATCATAAAGATTGGCCAACTTGGAAGAAAGTTATGGCGAGTTGCGCAAAAAGATTCGAAAAATTTGGCGATTGGTTTGGTTTGTTGGCTAAAATCCTTTTTTTGACTTTCAATTACAAAAGGGATGCGACTAAAAACAAGCTTAAAACCTAAAAATACGAATTTCACTTGATTTTAGATATAAGATCTTGTAGTTTAGGAGTTTTGGAGAGTTTTTAGACCGAAACACGAGTTTATTGCCTCAAAAATCAGCTCCTTAACAGCACTGAGTTGAATTCGGTCAGTATTAGGGGGAAAGCGGGAAGCAAAAACAACAACTAAACTAGTAAAAAGCACACGCAGCACCCTGAAAGAGAGAAAGACGCAAAATTGGGAATCAGCTGGGGTCAAACACACGCACACACACCCCCACAGGGTCCATCGGTCCTCTTCCCTTCTTTGGCCTTTCCCCCTTTCCCTCCTTTCCCTTCACATCGCTGCCCCCGATGGAATTTGTCAAAGTTATATGCGGCTCGCTTTTTGAATCCATTCACAACAAGTTCCTCTCTTCTTCTTTTTTTTTCTTCTCCTTCTTCTGACTACTTCTACTCTTTGCTTTTGATTCGATGCTGATTATTGCTTTTGAAATTATTGCTGATTATTGCTGAAATTCCGGGTTTTTCTGTCTAGACAAACGTCTAGACTAACTATTAGGTTGAGTATTAACTAGAAAAACTAGTCATTAGACCTGGAAAGTTGAAAAAAAATCTTCAATGACTTGGTTTTCCTTACGTTGTACTGCCGGATGACAAGAAATAACCCGTTCTTTTTTTTCTAGGCTCATATTTCTGTTATTAGTAGATCAAAAGGATTAATTTCTTTTTTAAATGAAAATTCAGATCATTTTCTGTATATGTTTCAAATTTCATGCTCATAGCATTGATAGATAATTTTTTTATGAACGCTTAAAAATGGCTACCGTATTTTCTCTAATAGTTCCGGAGCGTCGCCTAGATTACTCGAAATCTCGAGAGCCGCTTATCAGAAACTATCGATGTGGGGTCGGAAAATGTAGCTGACGATGAGATCTAGTGGGGGAGAAGAGTGTTGAGCTTCTGCGAAAGCTTGGGAATTGTAAAATAGTCATCAACTCGGCTCGGCGGGGTGCACTACTATTAGAGGAAATACGGTATTTGTGCACACCAGTATTAGGGAAAATACGATAGTTTAGAGCAAGCTTTTTACCTTTTACGATCAAGGTTTATCAATGGCTTTCGCCAGAAATTAGGAATGTTGAGATTTCAGAGCTGGTGCTGGTGCCTAATGAAGTTCTAGTTGAATGCCGTATTTTCCCTGAAAGTAATGCCCCAAAGCTTCGCCTAAATTGCTCGAAAACTCGAGAACCGCTTATCAGAACCTATCGATGTGGGGTCGGAAAATGTAGCTGACGATGAGATCTAGTGGGGGAGAAGAGTGTTGAGCTTCTCGGAAAAGTTGGAAACCGTAAAATAGTCATCAACTCGGCCCTACTATTAGAGAAAATACGGTAGTCAAAAAAATAACGAGCCATTTTTAAGCGTTCATAAAAAATTATCTATGAATGCGATGGTCATGAAATCTTGAATATATACAGAAAATGAACTGAATTTTGATTTAGAAAAAGAAACTAATCGTTTTTTCTACTAATAACAGAAATATGAGGCTAGAACTATTAGGACGGGTTATTTTCGTGTCACCTTGTATCTCTTAACTTCTTCAACTCTCCCTTCAACTTCTCCCTCCACCACTTGCGATCGAATCTTCGAATTGACTTCGAATTTCGAATTTTTTCATGCTTCACCTTATTCGCTTTAGTCAAAACGTCTCGTGTGACTCGAAACCAAATCGGGGTTCCGATTCGACCGGAAACCCCGGCTCAAGCCAAAGAAGAACATGTTTTTACGGAAATTCTGGAACGAATGGACACTACAAGAGAATGCGCGGCGGATGAAGATCACTGTGTTGCCCTCGGGCACAAAAAGGGTGCATTTGAAGAGCGCATCGGAATTGGAAGACATGGAGAGGAGAGGGTCGATCATCCCGAGGAGACCGTCCAGGCCACCGCCACGATCGAGTCAAGGACAAATCGGTGAGTTGGGCAATTCGGGACTCATCTGATCAATGTTTTCGTCGTTTTATTTAATTTTCAAAACCTTTAACTGTGTAAAATCAGTTAGTAAAGCCAGAAAAAAGGAAAATAGAATTAGAAAGTATCAGTTGTGAATTCGTCAGCTTCGGTTTTCATGTTCTACCTCTTTTCTAGCCATCCTTCTGCTCTAACCATTCTTAGAACGAAAAAATTGAACTCAAAAAGGTTTTGCTTTGTTTAATTAGTCTAATTAACTTCTTTTCTAGTCTATTTTTAGTCTATTTTGTTTCTTAAACTATCTAAAGGTGATTTAGTTTTTCGGTAACTTTCGGGTCACTTTATTTCTTCCAAAACCACTTTTTCTAGGCTAGTTTTTTGTGTAGAATTCGAATTTTGATACTTTACCGTTCTACCTCTCCATTTCGTAACATTTTTTGGCATTTTTTGGCGAAATATTGAGCCAAAAAATTAGTATTAGGCTGGCGGGTTTGGAATGCGAGTTTTTCGCAAAAATTATTTTTTTCAGGAGAAAGAAGCTATGAAAATTTCTCCGGTTTGTACCATTAGAAGGGTAAATTCGTGTTCTACATTGGGCTTATCAGCGATTTTCAAAAGCTTCTGTTTTGGGGATTTTTCGGGCGCGCAAAGACAAGTAGTCAAAATCGTCAAAAATCGAAACTGATTTAGTTTTTCGGTAACTTTCGGGTCACTTTATTTCTTCCAAAACCACTTTTTCTGGGCTAGTTTTTTGTGTAGAATCCGAATTTTGATACTTTACCGTTCTACCTCTCCATTTCGTAACATTTTTCGGCATTTTTTGGCGAAATATTGAGCCAAAGAATTAGTATTACGTTGGCGGATTTTGAATGCGAATTTTGAGTGCGAATTTTTCGCAAAAACATTTTTTCCAAGAGAACGAAGCGATTAAAATTAGCCTAGTTTATACTATTAGAAAGGTAAATCTGTGTTCTATATTGGGCTTTTCAGCTTTTTTGAATAGCTTCAATTTTGGCAATTTTTCATCGATCTAAAGACAAGTAGCCAGAGTCGTCAAAAATCGTTCAGTTGGCAACTTTTTTTGATCGAAAGTTAGCAGTCATTTTTCGCTCAAATGAATGACCAAGCACTTCTACATTTTCAATCAAATTTTCAGCCAAATTCGTTCAGCCGTTTTTTCTAAATGTTTCAAATTAAGGCTTTCATTAGTCCTTTGTAAAAGCTTGAACCTCAACTCTTTCAACTTCATCAATTCTTTCAAGCTAAATCTTTCAACTATTCAATTGTTGAGCCGTGCCACCCCAGTTCATCTTTCTGTAAAATCTTGAAGCATTTCTAGTAAAGGATTCCTCGTAAAGCATTTCTAATAAAGCATTTCTAGTAAAGCATTACTAGTAAAGCAGTTCTAGTAAAGGATTTCTAGTAAAGGATTTCTAGTAAAGGATTTCTGGTAAAGGATTTCTGATAAAGCATTTCTGATAAAGCATTTCTAATAAAGCATTTCTGGTAAAGCGTTTCTGGTAAAGCATTTCTAGTGAAGCGTCTCTAGTAAAGCATTTCTAGTAAAGCATTTCTTTTGGGTCCAATCTTTCAACTTTTCCGATTGTTGAGCCATTTCTTTTCAGGATGAAGCTGCTATCTGATGATAGCTCTTCACAACTTTCAAGCATTTTCAAGCATTTAAAAAAAAAATCCTCCAGTTTTTAAAGTATTTTAAAGTATTTTAAAGTATTTCAAAGTATTTTTCAAAGTTCCTTGCCCAAAAGCTTTACTTTTCCGAAGTCAATCGAACCTATCAAAGAAGAGAAAAACTTTTGAAACAAGAGCTATCATGAGAGCTATCATCATCATCATCTTGCCAATAATTTTATTGATTTCAAGTTTTTTTTGGTGAAAAAGGTCGAGAAAAGAGAATATTTCCATTTCCGTGTTCCGATAGAATTCTTTATTTCAGTATTATTTTGAGCTTTTCAGCTTTTGGCTTTGGCCTTGACTAACACTTTTAACTATTTAGACTAGTTACTTTTGACTTTTGACTTTTTACTTTTGACCTTTTACTTTTTACTATCGATATCGATGACTTTTAACTAGCTAGGAATACCTTTTTGACATCAGTTTTAGTTGAATAACTTGATCATTCATTCAAAAGAATCCAGAAGAAAGGGTAGATTTCGGCTAAATGGCCAATGGTGAATAGAGAAAAAAGAGAAAAAGAAACTCGATTTTCCTTTTTTCGCCCAAACAAACCACCATTTTTACGATTCAGTGCAATAAAATGCTAAAAACATATAGTTTTCTTTTAAACTTTTACCCTTTTTGCACTTCTACTTCATGAAGAGAAGTCAAAGAATTCAGTTTTTTAAAGAAAATTAGGCTTCATTGCAAGCTTCAGTAAGCTTCAGTAAGCTTCATTGCAAGCTTCAGTAAGCTTCAGTAAGCTTCAGTAAGCTTCAGTAGACTTCAGTAAGCTTCAGTAAGCTTCAGTAAGCTTCAGTAAGCTTCAGTAAGCTTCAGTAAGCTTCAGTAAGCTTCAGTAAGCTTCAGTAAGCTTCAGTAAGCTTCAGTAAGCTTCAGTAAGCTTCAGTAGGCTTCAGTAGGCTTCATTGCAAGCTTCAGTAAGCTTGTTATATCATCAAATTAAAGCCTTAACCTATTTTTATAACTTTCTTCAAATCATAGATGCTTGTGGTATATTTCTCAAAAGAAAAAAAAACAAAAAGGATAAAATGACACGGCCGAGTTGGGACTAACTCGATTCCGAAAGAACGACGAGAGAAAAGGGAAAATGATGTTCGTTCACACCCGTTTCCCCCCTCCTTTCTCCTCCTTTGTTCATCGCAAACTTTTCCTCTTTCTATACAAAATATTCTCATCTTTTACTTAATAAATAGCTAGAGATATTTTAAAATCTCAAAAATCTCAAAAATTACTTATTCTTCTTTCCATTTGTAAAAGTTTTTCTCAAAAAGCGCCTGCTCAAGTGTCGATTTCTCCCTGGAGTGTCATTTCCACATCTAACCACTTTTTGATGTCCACCCTTTTTTGAAAACTTTATATTTTTATTCAAAAGAGTCTTTACTTTTATTCTTCAATCCCTAAAAATGCTTTAGTACAGTTTTTAAATTAAAATTGGAATCAAAATTAAAATCAGAATTGAAATCAATTAGATTAAAGATTAAAAGCTAGTGATTTATAATTTCAAACAAGAAAAACCCCGCCCAACTAGCTCTAGCTCTTTCTCTAGCTTCTTAAGAAGTCTTAAAGTTCTCTAGCTTCTTAAGAAGTCTTAAAGTTCTCTAGCTTCTTAAGAAGTCTTAAAGTTCTCTAGCTCTTTTTCTAGTTTCTTAAAAAGTCTTAAAATATAATAGTTATGCCATTTAAAGTTAAAAATGAAAAAAGAGAAATTTAATGACACTACGGGGGGTTGAACCCGGGCCGTATACAAGCGCGTGGGGGCCGTAGACGAGCGCGCTCCCGACTGCGCTACGGCGACAACCCGAGATATTTAAAAATTATTATCCAGGGTTATACTTATCCGGCCAAAAACCGGATAATTATTAACCGCGTAACGGGTCTTTTTCTAGTTCCGGATTAACATTATCCGGTTTTTGGCCTGGCCTCAGGTTGTCGCCAGGGCGCAGTTGGGAGGACGCTCGTCTACGGCCCTCACATGTTTAGATACACCTCGGGTTCAACCCCCGTAGTGCCACTTGACTTTTTTTATCCGCCTAACTCGGTTTTTCTAGTTCCGGGTTATCATTGCGCAGTTTGTTCAGGTCCCGCGTTATCGCCGTGGCGCAGTTGGGAGGGCGCTCGTCTACGGCCCTCACGCGTTTAGATACACCCCGGGTTCGACCCCCGTAGTGCCACTTGCCTTGTTTATCCGCCTAATCCAGTTTTTCTAGTTCCGGATTAACATTATCCGGTTTTTGGCCTGGTCTCAGGTTGTCGCCGGCGGGCGCAGTTGGCGCTCGTCTACGGCCCCCACGCGCTTGTATATGGTACGGGTTCGACCCCCCGTAGTGCCATTAAATGAATTCTTTATTTTAAATGATACAACTAGATTATATTTTAAATCTTATATTTTAAAAATTTTAAAAATTTCATCTTAAAGACGGCTGAGAAAAAGCCCATACAGACGGACGGACAAACACTGTTCTTTTATATAAATTAGATGTTTTTTCGAACTCTTTCCAATAATGACAGGCAATTCTCGCGGGGTTTGAGTAATTGAAAAGGGCTTTGAAAATGTTTATCGTCGTTTGAAACAGGGAATTTTATTGATTTTAGCTTTTTTTATATCGTTTCCCTAAAGGACTAAAGGACTTTTTTCAGCTTCAAATTTTAACACTAACACTTGGGCTTAATCAATCAATTGTTTTAAGTAAAGTATGCTCTTTTGGACTGATATATTTTCAATTAGAGATTTCAATTTTTGAAGAATATCGTTTGGCTCAAATTTTGACAAATCTTTCTAATCTAAATCGATCTCTTCTTCAGTAATTTTCACAAAACCAGCCCAAGAATAGACGAGATTAGTCTAAATTTCGAAAAGTGACAGATTCTCGAAAGCGCTTTATTCTTAACTCTTTTCAAAACTCAACCAAGAAACTAAAAAAACGTTTGAGCTATTTTATTTTATCACACCATTTATCCGCTAGCAGTTTTGCTTGATCGTTAAACTTAAACTCTTACACAAGCATTCTTAGCATTCTTAGCACTCTTAGCATTCGAAAGGGGTAAGCCGCCTTGATGTGTTAAAAGTTTAAAAAAATTAAGGCCTTCATTAGTCCTTTGTAAAAGCTTGAACCTGAAATCTTTCAATTTCAACAATCCTTTTAAACTAAATCTTTCAACTTTTCAATTGTTGAGCCGTGCGACTCCAGTTCATCTTTCTGTAAAATGTTCAAGCATTTCTAGTAAAGGATTTCTAGTAAAGCATTTCTAGTAAATCATTTCTGGTAAAGCGTTTCTAGTAAAGCACTTCTAGTAAAGCACTTCTAGTAAAGCAGTTCCAGTAAAGCATTTC